AAGCTAGACCGAAAGATCGAGAAGCGGTTTAGGCACCCTTTTTTACATTCATATAGAAAATTTCTGCGTGGGTACCCGGGTACCCCGGTTATTGAAATCGTGTAGTTAACTTTGACGACCAAAAAATTAATATATTTTTATGACAAGTTTTTAAACAACCAGCTAAATTTACGTGAAATTGTCTAAATAATGGGGAACCGGAGCCGTTTGGCGCTATTTTGAGTGAAAGTCATTGATATTAAGACAAAAAGTACGAAATGGGCACCCGGGTACCCGGTTATAGAGACAAGGGTTAATCGAGGGCCCCGTGAGTATGAATAACGATAAAGGATGCTCGGTCATCGTATCATGGCAATTTAGCCACAAACGTCGCCGTTAAATAAACATTAGCATATGTAAATCATCCCTCCCTTCCTTTAGTGATGTAGCGACTGTCGTCAGATTAGAGAAATACTAATGTAAAAATGTACGCGAAATATTCTAATATTCTATAGTATGATAATAGGGAGAGTATCTCTCGGGTCTCGCGACCGATCGAGAAGTCTTATATACGTTCCTTGCAGAAGAGTGAAAACGTTATTTTTAACAGATCTACGAGCTATTTTCCTAATGAAGTCAAATAAATCGTCCCGCCTCTCGGATCTGCGGATCTTCGTGTATGCATGCGCACCCTCAATCATCGACGCACCTATAAATGCCTAAAGGACCTTATTAAGCGTAGCGGAGTGTGATCAACGACGATCATTACGATCATCCACGCGACAACGATGTTCCCGGCTTTTTGCGTTCTCAAATGAAAAAAAAAAAAATAAAAGAAAACGACGCGACTGGGAAGCACGCGTAATTACGTTCGCATTTCTCCAATTCGATGTATATTTGCATGTAAATATCTCTCTACACTTGTCGAGCCGAAAAGAGGGAAAGAGAAAGAAAATCCTCGCCGTCCGCTTTACGACTGAGGGTGAGAAAGGAGGGCATCTCAGTGTAATTACTCCGTGGACACAATGAAAATATATATATATATATATATATAGAATTAAAGTCTGTCAATTCGTGACACATTATAAATTCTAAACCTGTGATTTTATTGAACCTAACTTTAAGGGTTTTAGCTTTAAAGCTCTTGGTAGAATGGCAGATACATATACAAATTACATATACAACATATATATATATATATATATATATATATATATATGTATGTATATGCAATCTGTACTCTTATACATATATGATCCGTACACTCGGTTTACGAACATATCGTATTGCACATATTTCGTTGTAATCAACAAGAGCAGAAACATCCCGGTCATTAATCCTTAATCAGTATGGTGAAGTCATGCATCTGATATGGCGGGGAATTAACCCTTGAATCCTACATGTACTGGATTGCCGTTAAACCCATCAGATTCAGGTTTTGAGCATAAGAGAGCGTGGCTATAATATATTAGAAGATAATGTATTTTTGTAGGTTTAAAATATATTACTTGTTTTAATTATAATTATAATACTTGGAGCGAATAGAAAGGGAGAGAGAAACGTGAACTTATTTATCAATCTTACGTACATTTAATCGATTAGATTTTTTTATGATCGTAACGTGAGGACTATGAGAATTTGAAAACTTTGGGAGATGCAATTATATTTATAAATTATAGAAAAAAAAAGAGAGACAAGAGAAACCTCGATGAAAGAACAGCTAATAGTCCGCTTAAACCAGGCAACATTCTCGGTAATGGCATACCTAATACGTCTGTAACTTGTCGCTGCTGTTGTACCTAGATGTAAGTCGCTTCTAGAACTACTTGCTTAAGAACCCATTGTGCTGGTTAAGGATTAAAATATATTTTTTCAAAGCGATTAACTGTTGTAATTAAAAGTGTGAGTGTGCATGCGCGATTTCAACGTCGGCCGCAATGAGAGGATAAAGGACACGTGATAAAAAGCGGAAAGAGGGAATCTTTTATTTACATTAAAAACTTTATAGCCGATCCTTCTTGTAGATAGCCCAAGGTGGGACTAATCTTTTTATTGAATAAACTCTATCACACATCCTGTACCAACTTGACTTACGATAATTAAAATACAATGATTAAAAGAACTACAACTTTGCAGGCATGAAAGTTTCATTCTCACGTACTCCAATCCCTGCACATTTCATATCATATTGTATGAGTAATGAGAAAATGCATTTTTATTAACGTAATTCTAAAAAAAAAGAGAAATATTGATGCCTTAGAATGTCTTCATATATGTAGATGATTTGAAAAGAAGGCAATTTTTAATGAGAAAAAATAAAAGTATAGGATGACATTTTTTCATATATATGTATATAACTATATATGTATATGCATACATAAATTAAAGCATTCCTTATGTGTTATAAATTAATGCAATCTTATCCGTGAGGTAAAGCTGCAACCTATTTCTTATTTCACGGAAAATATTTCTATCTTCTAATTTTATTATTCTAATTTAGAGAAAAATATCAATTTACTTTAATCGATATTTTAATGCAAGAAATATGACAAAATTTTTTTATTTAGAATCGATTTTTTTCTTGCATAATAATGAATAAATTAAATACAATTTAAAAAAAGAGAGTTAAATATTATCTAAGATAACATATAAGAGTTAAATATATACGGAAAAGAAATTACGCGAAATTCAAATCTATACAAACGCACAAGTATGTGTACCCAAAATTATGCATAACATGTAAATTTCTGTAGCATATGTGTAGATAATTAATATTGAGTTCTAAAAAAAAATTTTTATTTATTTAATTACATTTATATAAATTATTTATTACATTTATACATTTATTTTGTTCATATCCAATTAGATTAGATAGTAAATAGTTTAATTATTTTATTTTACAATTCCATTATAAAATAATGATAATTACGAAACAGCAGATGTGCTTTAATCATTTTATTTAACAATTGCATTATAAAATCTAATTGACGAAACAGCTTAATACACAACTTGATCGGATATTATACTTGAACGGATATTTTATCCGATTAATTGTAATGTCCGATCTAGTTTTCGGATTTCGAAGGGGACATAAAATGATAACATTGGTTTGACCCTGAGTGGCGTCGTTAAGGTCAGGACAAGGTCAATTTGAATTTTTTAAATGGAACCCCCAATTTTTCATTACATGTTCTTAGCACGGTACGTGCGTGTTTGTGGGAAGAAAGCGCATGTACATTTTTAATGATAAAGGATAATGTTATCTTTCATAATATATAATCTTATCTTCTTTTTAAATTGAGACCAAGAGAAATCATATTGAGTATTTTAAAAAATTATCGCTTATTTGTTACAACACTAACATAAAAGTCATCATTTTTATCGCTTTCATCGCTTATTTGTTACAACCCTAACTCAAAAGTCATCATTTTTTAATTGCTTGTAAAAAGAGAACGGAACTATAAAGGAAAAAATAAAACATACTTCCAAAGAACATAGTTTTATTTCTCCGGAATCAGTTATTACAATTAAATTATATTTCAAAATTAATACACAATTTTAATATCTTGAAGAGTTCTAGGCTTGTAATTACGTGCTTTTTTGTCCTGTAATAAATATTCTGTCTGTATATGTATATTACAAAATCTAAATATGTCTTATCTCTAATTACATATATAATCGTGAAAATTGTATTGATATCATTGATAACAAAATAATGATATCAATGAACATTTTTTACAGAATAAACTCAAAGTAAAAATAAAATGATAAATCTGCTTATTTTCTGTGTAATTTAGAAAAAAACTGAGCTTAATTTTAACAGTGACTAATCGTAAATAAATAATTGTTATCAATGATAAGTCCATCTTTTTCTATTATTATTATGTCGATTAATACTACAAAATTTCAATATCTTGAACAGTTCTACGTATAGGCTTGTAATTACATGCTTTTTTGTCCTGTAATATATATTCTGTCTGTATATGTATATTACAAAATCTAAATGTCTTATCCCTAATTACATATATAATCGTGAAAATTGTATTGATATCATTGATAACAAAATAATGATATCAATGAACATTTTTTTACAAAATAAGCTAAAAGTAAAAATAAAATTATATTGGATGACCGGTCAACCGCATATCAATGGAATCAGGAGCGGGGTGCCGGTTCAAGGGGGACGCCGGCATAAGGAGATGCCAGCGCAAGCGGATGGCATGCCGCATGCGGGTCCAGATTGCGGGAGACACTGCGCAACTTCTTAATTTTTTTTGAACATTTAAGGATTTTCCCTAAAACAAAAATTATAAAAACTAAAACTGTATACAAAGATAATAATAATAAAGCATTTTAAAAATATTTAAAAAATATATAAAATATAAAAACAAAAAAATATAAAAAATATATAAAAAAACGTAATCAAGAAAGACGGAATGGGAGGGGAGGGGCCTTTTTCGTCTCCTGCCTGAGGCACCTTAATTCCTCGGCCCGGCTCTATGTGGAATGTGCGATTTTTGAATAATTATTTTAAAAATATTGTCTCACTCATACTTACTCGTTTGACATTCTTAAAATTATATTACGAAAGCGTGTTTTTATTTCTTGTAATTGCAAGTTTTCTTCTTCTAGTGCTTCACATGCTTCACGTGCTTGTTGGCCGTCGTAAAATCTATAAAGATTTGTGAGACTATTTAATAATGAGTTTTGTTATATATATGTTACATATACATTATACAGCACATTATACACACATTAGTGCAAATCTTCAATTCGTCATGCACGACATTCATATTGGTCGAGATGAATCAGTATTCACGCACGAGAGTTCATACAAGATAATTTCATTTTTATGATTAGTTGTCATGACGATATTAAAAATAACATTTGAATTATGATTACATTACTCTCTTTTGAACGGTTCTCGTGCAATATTCACATATTTATTTCTAAACTCACATGTGAATCGCGACTCAGGAATATTTTAAATATTTTTCAAGGCGTTGTCGCGATCCATCTCGATCAGCCTCAGGCTTAGAACATATATTACTGGAAGGAGAATTGCCTATATCGTCCATGCATCGAGCTGAAGCCAACATCTTTGCGAGAGAGAAAGGTATAGATTCCCAATTGTCTGTAATGTGCATGTGCCATTCAGCCCCCACTTAGCCCCGTTTTTCTTTTTTTTTTAAAGATTTTCGAAAAATAAAAAATTAGGCAAAACGGGCTGAGTGGGGGCTGAATGGCACATACGCATTACAGACAATTGAGAATCTATACCTTTCTCTCTCGCACAGATGTTGGCTTCGCGTTCAGCACTCTGTTCTCCTTTCAATAATATATGTTCTAAGGCCTCAGGACAATTACGAAAAGCGTCCCTAAGCGTTGGCAAAGCGATCTAGAGCACAATCAGTGTTCTCAGGCGTTATCGCAATATGTATCAAATTTAACGAGATAAAGTGAGTATTAATATTTAAAAGTTGTAAAGTATTTTTAAACCGTTGCATCAAAAGTTTAATAAACATATTGTGTTGAAACGAAAAGTGCAGTGAAGTATTAAGTTATTTCATCTGAGTCACGAAACATGTTTAACTTATTTTATATTAATAATTATTCTTTAAAAGTTAATGTTTAATTTTCAGATTCGTTTATGGTCTAATTTATAAAAAATGTGAATAATTAGTTATTAAAAGCTTATACATACTTTTCAATTAACATTTTTTGCATCCTTGTGCATAGTTTTATTATTATTATTGGATATTTCGATATTCCTGTTGGTAGTATCACACTAGATTCCTCGAGCATTTGTTGGTCTTCGATATTCAAGCTGTATGCATACATTAAAAATTATTCGTTTATGTTTTTGATTATGTACGCACAATTGCTAGTATATTATACTTTATGTGAATACCCTATACTTTAATACAATTTTAAAATGTATAAAAAAGATTACAAAAAATATTAATTAAGATAATATAGATAATATAAATTAAAAAAGTAGAAATTTTCTTAAAAACATAAAAAAATGTTACAAAATAAGCCGCGTATTTATTTCTCTCTTTAATAAAAATAATAATTCAATCGTAAATATAAATCAATTTTGTTGAGTAATATCCGTATAATGGCACTACGTTTCCAAGAAGATAAATTTACTTTAATTTACATTAAAGAATATTAGTCTTAAGATTTAATTTCATTAATAAAATATCTTTATTTATGCAATGCAATCAAAATGAATACTTGTTTTTTTAAATCTTTTGTTGATTGATTGTGAGTTGACCATCTGATGTTGAAATATTAAGAACAAAAATAAATACAAGAATTTAAAACTATCTATATACAAATTGGGTACCACGGAATATTATTCAGGATTTCTGAATAATTACTTTTTAGAAACTTGCCTCACTCAAACTTACCCAAACATTTGTATTCTTGAAAATAGCTCATTAAGACTTTTTATTATTTCTTGCAATTCCAAATTTGTAAATGATAGTTGTCCTTCATGTAATTGTTCGTCATCCCCATTTAACCAACTAAAAAAATCCGTAAAGTTTAATTGTGAGTTAACTGGTTTTATATTTAGGGTTCTGCTTGATGACCTTAATAAATATCATGCAATCATTTAAATTTGTAATTTGCTATGCTTCCGTTACCAAAATTTTTAAAAATTGTAAAACTATGAAAGCTGAAATATTTCGTGATTGATTAGTTCATAAATTTAAAATAGTTAATAAATATTTATGTTTTTTGTAACATGATAAAAATTATTCTTGTATATAAAAGTTGATGTTAAATTCTTAGATTCGTTTTTTATTTATTGTATAAGAAATGTGAATAATTACTTATTAGAAGCTGTCTGTCTACTTACGTAGGGTTTTCTAAAATTTCACTTATTTCTAAACTTAGGCGCGTTATTTTCACCAACATTAACACAATTTTATTTCGTTCATCCATCATATTATGTATGTGTATATAGTATACGAAGGCTTCTCTGGGATTATGCAAACTGTAAAATTCCGTAAGTTTAGTAGTCAATTAACTTTTAGTTTATAGGTATTTTATAGATATGTGCACACAATAAAAATTGCACATTTACGATTTTCATTATGTTCGCACAATGCTAATATCAAATATTTTATGTTTCAATTTTAATAAAAAAGATTGTAAAAAAATGTAATTAAGATAATATAGATAATATAAATAATAAATAAAATTTCTCTTAAAAACATAAAAATATCAAAAATATGCCATGTTGTTCAAATTTAAATGAGAAATCTGCTTTACACATTTAAATTATGCCATGCGACACAAAGAAGATACCATTTAAAGATAAATAATAACCAACTGCATACACAAAGCAAACTCAATATTTTAGAGAGAATACTTTATATTTAATATATATAGGAAACGAGAATAAA